TACAATATCTATGTCAGAAAATTTGTGGTCTGATGATATTGTCAGAACTATAGACTTTGAAACTCCTGGCTTGGGTGACTAAAAGGGAGAGTTCTGTCTCCCTCTCTATCTCTCTTTTTAAATAAAATAAGTGAAACTCATATACTTCATTCATTCAGATACCTACAATCATAGACATTTTTCTTCCACCATTTTCTGCTCCATCCTGTCATTATCCTAGTTCATTCTGGGTGTTGACTGCATAGGATTCTGTGAATAACTGAATAAGGATGACATATGTTTTATATAAAATATATAAAATCATAACTATTAAAAATATTTACAAACATTTCTAGATTAGGAAAAATATGAGGCCAAGAATAATAATTTACTGAAAATGTGGCTCTGTGATTTAAACATATTAAAATTTCTCCATGTAATTCTATTCAGCTAAAATCCAAGAAAAGTATTAAATATTTCTGTTCTCTATTAATAACTGCAAATTAATATTTATCAATTATTCTTTGAGGGGATTAGTGTGTTTTGTTTTCACCTTCTATCTGCAATTAAGACAGAAACTAAATTTTCATCTGGAATAAAAGCAAAAGAAGGAAACCAAAGACTCAAAGAAGAAACTAGTCTACAGCACTAATAGTCTACACAAATCACAGCATCATCTACCCCGAGACCAGAAGAACTAGATGGTGCCCAGATAACAATACTGACCATTCTAATTAGGGCCGCAATAGCTGGCTTCTGATAGAAAGTGAGAAAAATATGGAACAGAACTTCAAGTTCTTTAAAAAAAAATTAAAAAAAACAAAAAATAAACAAGACTTACTAAACTGGTTGAGATGGGAGGATTTCTTGAGACTACTGCCTTGAGACACTCTTTAAATCTTGAACCAGAGGAAATTCTTGAGGTCACTTGTTAGTTAAATAATGGATTAGCTCATAAAATAAGAACATCATCCATGAGTATTGAACTCCTTTTAAAAAAATCATCTATGTGAATATTCACTGACAATGACTATTTTACAACAAAGATCAGAAGGTAAGGGGACAGAGAAACTAGACTAATGGAAATGGAACAACCAAAGTGTAAATAATGAT